GAGAGAGAGAGAAAGAGAGAGAGAGGCACCTTATTATCTGATGTATGTATTATTTTAGCGATAATACCATGGTGGACGTATATACCCACTCCTCCTCCAGTTGTGCCTATCTATCGTAGCTCATATCCTTCGAGAAAAACTAATATAAGTCAGAAGATACATCCTGTCTGAGTCATGTTTCTGTAAAGCAAATTATCTTATATTGTTGTAGTGAGAAATACAGCTTAAATTCGTCAGAATGAGCTCTTAGGAATTGGCAGTTTATATAACAAATCATGACGCTATTGGTCAACCTTGAAGTATCATCCATAGTTGATACTGATCGCCATGTTTCTGAGATTGGATATTTTTTCCCGTCAAAAGCTGTGTGATCGAGGTGTTCCATATTGATTTCTTTGCAATTCCCGCAGCATAGGGAGCTCGCATTCTCAATGCAAATTTGAGTTTCATGTCGGCCAGTGCAGTGTCCGCAACGATATTTCTTCATACAATAAATGGACAGATCTTAGACACTTGTAACATTGGAGTATCTTTAGGTGATTTTCAACCTGACATGACATCTAGCCAATGAATAGTCATCCCGAAGAGAGTATTTTGCTCCAGATTTCGGTAGAGCATTCAATTACACAGTTCGTAAAGTTTTTGCTTTTTGAAGGACATGCATATGCATAGTATTTTCACTTTCTTTTTACCAGATTCCGTCAAGTTTAATGAGCTAATGTCATTTAGTCTAGGGTTCAATTTAACATTTTTTTTACACTAAGACCGGCTTCTTTTATCTTTTTCAAGGATCTTAGTTCTAATATATTATCAGTTGCTGTTTCTATTTTAACTGCTTTATCTCTCCAGAGCAGACATACTTACAACTTTTACATTCAGTTTAGCTGGGTTTCCGATTTTAAATATAGCCTTTCTTGTATCTGCTGATGTCGTGTAGTTATTGCTTGCTATTTTTGTTGGTTTGGTGCAGATTGGGTAGGTTAATGGATAAGTATATCGTCACCGAGCGAGCAAAGCGAGTGAATTCGACTGAACAGAGCATTAAATGTTTGAAAGGGTTCCGTCAGATAAAGATAACTTACAATATCGTTGAATTACTGATGGAAGACCACTCAGGAGGCAGAAATTTGTCGTTATGGTTCATATTATCTTTTTCACTAACCTTTCCACCAACATAGACGGGTGTCCAATGAATCGGATGATCATGTTGATACAACACCATGGGTCGCGCTAATATTTTTATATATTCGAATACTTTATTTTTAATATCTTCGTGACTTGTAATTCTTGCATAAAACCCTGGAACCAAAAATCATTATACATTAGTATATTTAAGACATAACACAACAATTTAGTAAATATAATATATTTTATTTAATCGAATCATTGTATATTTTAAACAATTTTAAGAAAATAATAGTATTGATTTTCGTCCGCAAACATGTAATTTATTCCGCGTTATAAATAATCATAAACTACTTTTATTATTGCAAACCATGATCAGTTACAAATAAATATGAAATATGGATAGTATTATTTAACATTCGCTCCATTCTGGCAGACTGCTATTGTAACGTATCTGATTATATAAAGTCACAGTTAAGACACTAAAAGTGCTGATGAATTCTGTCAAATAAACAAATTAGGTAAAATTACAATGACCATTACTTTCATGCCAAATAATTTTTTAATCATAAAATAGGTACAAATTTTGCGATTACATTAATGAAATGAGTGTAGAGAACTTTGCTAATCAAATTCATCTTAAGGGCCCTAAAGACTGCCGAAAATCGCAATTGCGAAAATTAAAAATTATCTGCGAATATAACAAAAATCTTAACCAAACACACCATGGACATTTACAAAATTTATGACGTTCTTGTATGTGGAATACGTAAGGCAATAAGAAGTAATCAAAAACTGTTTCATATGAGATGAGATATACAGGGCATTCAGTAAATCCTGAACAAGTTATAATACATATCATTAAATTCGTCGTAAAATTCTGAAGAAAATGATGCTAGCAGAATTAAAATATTTCAATTAGTTTTGAAGAAACCGGTAATTAAAATTGGAAATTTCCGCTAGTCAAGAGCGTCAGATGATTGTCACAAATCAATAAGTATTTCGTTACCTGAACATGCAGTCCAATGAACGCACATAAAATTTCTGTATTGTCTCACTTGTTCAGTACATGTCCAGTATGATGCTACCACTGTACGTAGTGCGTGAGGGTGTAGAGGTATGTGCACTTATTAAGTACAATATTTCACCCATCCAATGCCTAATTTCTTCCTGCCGATCAGCTGACGCTTTTGATTGATGAAATTGTCCAATTTTTAATATCAATTTTCTCCAAAACTTATTAAACGTTATCGGTTCTCCTCGAACCAATTGTCTACGACTTATCAGGCATTCTGTATATTAGAAGACATGTTATAGGGTTTAACAAGTGAAAGAGAAACAGTTTGCAAACGACTATGGTGAATAGGGAGTATCTAAGTGAGATAATGTAAATATTGAGAAAGAAAAGGGTGGTATAAGAGGCTGGAGAAGGAATGGAGGAAAGTGTCGTGTTTTAAAAGGAGAGGAAAACTAGTAAGGCAGTGGGAGGAAATTGAGGTTCGAAAGGAAAGGAGCACCCTGTATGGTGACAAGAAGGCGACGAGGATAGCTTTTGATACCTGTGGAACAATAGAAGCATGTAAGAGAAAAAATAGTAAACAACAGTAGGTAAAATAGGGAGGATAGCAGAGTAGGCAAGAGGGAGGAGGAAATAGATAAAAAGGTAAGATAAAGCAAAAGAGGAAAGAGAAGGAAAAACAATTAGAAAGGTAGAGAAGCAACGACGTAGAATGTGAACTTGTGTAAACGAAGAACAACAGAGTAGAGGAAGGAGAAGGAAGAAAATATTTGGGCGTTTGCAAAGAAGCAGAAAGGTGATCACTGGAAAAAAAAGAAGACGAGTGCATAGGAAAAGAAGTGCGATGGATTGAAGGTTTAAGAGTCATATGAGAAGAGATAACGGAAGATCAACGGAACCAGAAAAGTATATCAGAAAAAGGCAAGAACAAAAATAGCATATGGAAGATGAAACATAGACGGAGAATACTAGTGGTGAAATAAAGTAAAAGAAACACCGAGGACAGGAAGAGGTGAGGACACAAAAGAAATAACTAGGAAAAAGGTGACAGAGGAAGAAAGTGAGTTTGAAAACACTATCAAGAAGTAAACAGAGAGAGAAAGGGGAGAAACGGGAGAGAGGAGGGAGAGGTTGAAGGGCTGGTGATGAGAGTGCAAGGGAGGAGAGAGAGAAACAACAAGAAGTAGGAATGGAGAGGGGACAGGGAAGAAAAAGAGGCAGTAGAAGAGGGAAGATGAAGACGAAGAAAGAAAAGAAGAAGACTTCTAGAGATAGACTTCTAGACTCGAAGAAATGGGATGGAAAATTACCGTGGAAATACAAGTAGCTTCTGCAAGAAGCAGAGAGTGAGAAATTGGAAGGAAAACACAGTGGACGTACGCTGTGGAGAATCAGTATGGAAATAGAAATGGAGGAGATCAGTGAGACAGGAAGGGGATTGCAGCAGGCGAGAATGAAATTGGAAAAAAACAGATGGAAAGTAATAAGAAGCATAGAACAGAAAATGTGAAGAGTTGCTTCACGAACTAAAAAGAGAAAGACAGGAAGGAAAAGAGAGAAGCCGTTAATAGGAGGGGATTTTAACAAAACGACAAGAAGAGAGGGAGGAATTAGACTGTGATGGGGAAGAAAAAGAAAAGAAAAGAACCTCAAGAGATGAGAAAGTAAATGGGGGAACGTTGGAAAAAATGCATGTGGCAGGCGACAGGGTATGAAGAATAATGAATGGAAACAAACAAGGGGATATTACGGAGAATACAGTGGATATAATCCCGCTTTTATTTATTATCTTCACCGACCATCAAGAGGAATACATAAGAAGCTTGGAGGAAAATTTCCCATCGACAATGGCTTTTTGTTTAAGTTAATGGTTTTCCATTGATTTTATTAATATACAACACATTTTTGGAAATAACCATTGATAATGGAAAATTTTCCTACGGTAAGATAAAGAAAGATGCATATAGGGATAACGTAACGCTAGTGACATACAGAAGTCGAAATTTTATTCAAGCAAGGGAAGGGAAAAGAGAAAGGAAGAGGAAAATAGGTAGATGTGGGAAGCCGAAAAAGCCAAGAAATTTTGAAAAAGTTGCCGGGGGGGGGGGGGGGGGGCATTGAACCAAGTGTGGGGAATAAGTGAAAGGAAATTCAAAGGGATCCCAAAAAATGAAATGCCATTATTCAATATATTGGTAAAAAGTATGGAGTTCTACGAGGTGGAGGTATGAGAAAAGAAAGAAAGGAACAAGATATAAAAATTGCAAATAAAATACATAAATTGGATTATGGGACTAAATAGGTATTTTCCAGACTATAACAGAAGAAGTAAAGAAAAGAAGATGAGTATAGTCGCAGACAGTAGCATGCTGAAGTAAACGGAGAAAATGAGATAGACGGAAAGTATGTTAACAAGAGAATTCATATGAGAAAAAGGCATGAAAGAATGAAAAGGTATGGAATGGGAAAAGGAGATGGAGAAGCTTTAATCCATATAGAAATTTATTAGCGAACGTCCTAATATGAATAAGGTTATAATAAGGGCTAACTAGTGTTTCCTAAGGTATATTTCCTTAATGCGGCTTTGTTTAGGTTCTGATTTAATTTACTACTGACGAGAATATTTGGCCAGGCCGTTACTAAGATTGCATTAAGACATTTATAGGACACAATTAAGAAACTTGTTAGACTTTTATGCTGAACACTTTTTACTTAAGCTTAAAGTTATCTTGTTCTGGTAAATACAATTTTAATCCGCCAATTTTTACAATCACTGTAATAGAATATCAAACATAATTATGATTGCTTGCAATATTCATTTGATAAATTCTGGTATATATTATATTATGTTCTGTAACGTATTTTCTTAACCCGACACCGATAACGTTAAATCGAGAACAAATCTACGTTATCGTCGGCCGTCTACTCTTCGCCCATGCATCTGCAAGCCAGGCGGGCGCCAGTAATTTTTTGTATCACCGAGGATTGACATGTCGGTATGACCTGGGAGTTGGGGCGAAACACTCCCAACACTGCTAAAACGAGAGTTCTGACGGACCTTCTCAGAATAGACGGTACTTTAACGGATCCTGTCGATTTTTGGGGATGGATCAAATCAGTAAATGTGATTGGATGCATAAACGGGAGCGGACGGTTACGGAAATGCACGGCCACTCAGGCTGCTAAGGTGGGGTTAGAGAGGGTCGAAGTAAGCATCAGGTAAATAATGCCGAAACAGAGAGCAAATAGTCAAGAACGTAACAGAACGGATCACAGCTATAACACCGAAATCTTCACTGCAGCTGGTTCAGCTAATTCGGGAAATCCAAGAACTCGATCCAGGGGACACTCAGGTGGGCACTGCACTAAATCACAGCATTGCATTTTCGAAACACACGCAGAAGAATGATCGGACTTTCTAGATATAACGTTAGCAACGAGAGAACTACATAACCGAGAAACCTCTAGACCGTCCACGAAACACAGCTAGGAAAACTATTAACATGTAGCATAGGAGCAGGAGTCAGCTCGTAACACCTCGATCGATGTCCTAAGACAGACTACTATGACAATAGTCAAATTCGAGAATTAATCATTGTGATTGGTTGAGATCCTTATAGCCGACAACTCTTATTCTTTCCCTCGAGTCGTACCTCTCTAGCGCCGGTATCTCACCTGGAACTCTGCCGGTCGTACAAATCAGACCGAGAGCGTAGCTTTTAAGCAGAGTGGCCATTCGAAGGGAACCAGAAAGTGAGAGCGCTTATCTGAATCGGTAGTTAGAGTCGCTTTGTGACTGTGAGTCGAAAAATTACGTCACACTATACAACGTCACAATATACCATTACGCCATCCGTATGTTTGATATAGGGGAATGTCGTCAGGGTCGCACCGTCGTCTAGGTCGGACCTTTTCAATTTTTTATATATCACCACTAGCGCCACTTATGCGTGAGCGTGGTCAAACTAATTGTGGTAGAAGCAAACTTTACGAAGCATTGCTTTTTTCCTAGCGTGTTTGTCAGAAGTAGTGTGCACTCAGTTGCTTTTTGATAGCGCAAAAAGTTTCTCAGCACCCGTAAAAACCGTCTCAGAACATGAAGAGATAACGTATGTACAATCGTCGAGGTAAGCATGAGTGTGTGTCGTGTGGTTAACGTATAACAAAATACTAAGAAGAATATTAAAGTTTTTTACTTATTCATTTATTGCGTGACATGATGCAGTGACGGTGCTTATCGTTAAGGTTCGACCATTTGTGTAGTCAGGATTGGTCCACCGTAATTTTTGCATAATATCAGATAAATAGCATGGAATCGCGAACGGCGCTCAATGAACAGCACAGGTTTAACTTCACCAGAGAGTCTTGTAACATTGCGTGAAAAGAAACAAAAGCAAGACACTTCGAAGACGCACACAAAACGCCCAAATTCAACTACAAAAGACCAGCTAAACGAGATCGCTCACCAAAAAATGTGCAGGAATAACCCTCTTCGGATGAGAATGAAAACTTCTATATTATGTTTAAAAGCGACGCCTAAACACTTAAACCGCAACAACTCTGTTGCTTGCATCGAATGCAAGAGAGAAGTGCATTTGAAATACGCCAAACTGACAAAAAGCTATTTTGTTTGCCAAAATTCCGATTTTGACTGATTTTTTCTTCAATATTTTACTATTTAATTTTATAAGATTGAATAAAAAAAGGAAATTATTTCACGTTATATTTCGTCGATTCTTCCCAGTGATTCAACGTAGACAGAAAGGATCAACCTTGACAGCATTTTTTTTTAAATTGCACTACTTTTTTATCATAGGAATTCACCATGCTTCAAAAAAGTTTTGTAATCATTGGACCTTTCTAACAATGTGCTATACTTCCCTAAACTCTTTCCCAAACAAAAGTTGTGGGTAAAAGTCAAAAAGTGGTCCGACCCTGACGACATTCCCCTATTTTCACGAATACTAACAGTCGAATAAACTGTAAGGCAGTTTCGAAGTATAATATTATATTGATTAGAACGCCTACTGATATAATACATCTATTCACATCGTACGGCCTTTGTGGCTAAAGCGTTACAGCATCTATCGAGTACCTATCGCTTGTCTGAACCATAGTCCAATCAGAATTGCAGAAAGTTAATCGTCTCTTGCTCGTAGTCCTAACTAAATTTCTACAAGGGTACGGGTAAAGGGGGGTGAAAGGGGAAGGTGGGAGAATATATTGATAGATTGATGAAGATAGGAGAATATATATCGAGTACCTATCAGTTGTCTGAATCATAGTCCGATCAGAATTACAGGAAGTTAATCGTCCCCTGCTCGTAGTCCTAACTAAATTTCTACAAGGGTATGGGAAAGGGGGGGGGGTTGAAAGGGGAAGATAGGAGAATATATTGACGACTATGGAAAGTAAAAAGGCTAATTTGGAAGAAAAAGATGGTGCGTTGAAGGGAAAGAAAAAGAAGGATGAAAAAGGAGGGCGAGAGAAAACAAGGGAGAAACTGTTGAACAGAAAGAATAACAAAGAAAATCAAAATATTGAAAGAAGAGGAAGAAGTCTAATAGTAAAAATTCGGAAAGGAAAAGAGGACAAAACTAGGGTGAACAAAGATTTGACACGACGGAAGTGTAGAAGAAGAGTGGATGAAAGGGAGTGAAATAAAGGTAGGAAATAGAAGGCTGAGGATGGAAGGAAAATGTTGGGTGTGAGACGAGAGAGAAAGAAAGCTAGTAGGAGAAGGTAAAGAAAGGACAAAGAAAACTATGAGAAAGAGAGGGGTTGAGTAGAGAAAACAAGAAAACAAAGTTATAGCCCGGAAGGACCTTGAGTTCACTAATTGAATAAAGAGCGATGAACACATGTATCAAAAGATGTCTGTCAAATTTTTCCTTCACTGTCAAGTTATAAAATTTTATATATTAGAAGTTAACATTTCATCATGTCCGCGTACTAATCACGTTAGAACATTTTCATTAAAGATATTAATGGAACCTGATTATTTTTAAATATTAGGAGTAATCTTATAATTATTTTGTACTTTATTATTTTGATATAATTAGAAGACTTTTCTACTAGAAATATAAAGAATCACGTTATTCGAAAAGTTTTACAATGGTTGTACTTAAGAAGGTAATAATTACGTACCTTTATTGGTGCATGCCATATTTTGGATTTCTGGACTTCTGTCTCCTCCAATAAGATATGTGAAAATTCTAACGAGCATATGTGGCCAGTTATATCGTTTAATCAGTTCCGTAGGGACATTTGCACTATCATGTGTAATTAACATGATTCCCTGGTTACACTGACTGCCCTGACCAGTTCTGTTATACTTTTGTAAAATCTCGAAAGCGGTGGCAAACGCTGCAGATATGTTCGTAGCTGTGTCTGCTTTTATTGTATTCATAGCTAGTTTAAGTTCTCTGATATTATCCGGTGATGCTTGAACAAGGCTGTCCTTGAAACATTGGACGATTTCTTCAGCACTGTCCGCATATCGATATGCGTTTACATAATCATTTGGACCAAGAGTATCCAAGATTGCATTCACTGTTGCAATCGTTAAATCGCGAAATTTAGCGGATGCATAGTTATTACTATCGATCAATATAGCTAAATCCTTTGGACTGGTAGCACCTCCCACAAACCAGTCAGAAGAACGAAAGTCGTAGATGTCACGAACGTTCTTCGATATCGTTGGCGATTTTGACGTATCAATTGGTGGCCAAGATGTTGCTGCAATTAAAAAACAAAAAATTCATTTCTTTTCACAATCTCAAGTTTTAAACTTCTACAATTATAGCAATAAACGCGAGATTCGAACAGAACAATTATTTTTCTTCGTATACAGTATGTTGTTCCGAAACAAACCGTTACATAATCTGCACCTCCATGCAATCGTTTGCAGAAAATTTCTCGAAAACAATGCCTCGAAGAAAAAATTTATTGAAACCACATTTTCTCGAAACATATTTCCTGAAAAATTAATTTCTGGCAAATAAATGCAGGAATAGCACGAAAAACAATATCTCGAAAACAACTGCTCTAGAAGACAGCTTCTCGAAAAAACAAAATCCTGTATTGATTTATTTTTAATATTGCAGAATGGTTGCAGTATTTCCAAATTCTCTTCGTAATCCAATGTACCGAATAACTATTATACAGGGTGAGGAACTATCTATTGCCACCTAAAATAACTCCGAAAGTATGATAGTAGTAGAAAAGTTTTCGAAACAAAAGTTGCATGGGACAGCTGGGGCTGTTATATGTCTATAGTTTTTTGTTGCTAGATGGAGTCGCTTCAGAGATTTGAAAGTCAACTTTGTTTTTTTAGATAGAATGCTACGTTTTGATACTCATTTTCTGTTAGCGGCTATCGAGATGAATCCAATGATATGCAACATTAAGGACTTTGAATGTCAACGAAGGTCATTTACGGCAGAAAGGTAAAATGAACTTACATTTACAGACGGTGTCCAAAGAGATTACTATTGGTATCAATGCAATGCTGCAATCTCCTTACCACGGATTGAGTAGTATTTGTTATCACTTCGGCACTTATCGAATCACATGCTCTAACAATTCTTTCTCGCATATCGTGCAAATACAGTAAATATTTACTAAACACGGCGTATTTATCGAACTTGATAATGACAAATAAACACTCTTCGGTCGATATCGCAAAACAACAATAATAAGAATGGTAAGACTAGTATCATCGAATCAAGCGAATTTAAATTATGTATTCTTTCGAAGAACAAATCGATATGCTTCTCATTTACGGAGAATGCCAGCAAAATTCAGTGAGAGCTAGAGATTTATACGCTGAAAGATATCCTCAACGTTCTCACCCTACACGCCGTACATTTAAATATTTGTACGATAAATTAAGAACAACTGGATCCTTAATCCATCGAAAAAATAGCCGGCAAAAGCAAGTAACTCACGAAGAAACGGAAATCGGTATTCTTGCCACTGTGATTCGAGATCCTTGTGCTAGTTCGTGTCAAATCGCAAGGGAATCTGGCGTAAGCCAGAGAAGTGTTATTCGTGTTCTGCGTCGCCATAAATATCATCCTTACCATATCAGTCTTCATCAGGAATTGTTGCGTGTGCATTACGTAACACGCGTGTTGATGCCGGAAGCGTCTGGGCTTCCCGGAGATAATCCCTAGTTATCGTACAGGATTAGGATACGTTGAATCCTTTTTAGTTTTGGGTTACGACAGGAATCGTTATTCCTTGTTACGGGAATTATATACTGTTGTTTGATTGTATTATTATTCACGCGTTCTAGGTGTCGAGGAACCGCCGATTCCTTGCGCGTGTGTTTTTCGGAACCGTTGTTCCAGTTACAGTATTTTTCTGCGTTTTATGAATTATTTTGGAACCGTTGTTCCTTCCTGTGTTCAAGTATTACAAAATTTCATTATCTTATTTTTACATTTCGTTTTATTGTTTCTTGTTTCCAATAAATCGGACCCGTCTATAGGTTCCGTCTGTTTAACCGAAACCTCAGATCTATTTGATTTTTCAAAGCCCCTTTTGTGTTGTCTGGTAGCGATTAGAAAATTTCAGGTCTCGTTATTGTCTCCCAGACCCAGGACCCCACCGCACAAGAGCTGGCCCTGGTACCCTCTGGAGACAGCGGTGTATCTCTTGGTACACCTGGCGCCCAGTAATATAATAATCTATTAATTATTTCTCGCGGTGCCTTTATTTGTGCGATTCGTCGTTACAGTACATATTGTAACGTAGCGTCCGCGGGACGGCTAGTTACATAAAAGCATAGGCGCACGGAGAGTCGTGCCGCCGTCGAAAGCCGCCGAGAGAATGCCGACGACGCCGGAGGTTCGGGGCGAGAGGAAGCCGGGGAGAGCAACCGGCAGCGCCGAGCCCGGATATCGGGCAGGCTCGGGTAAGTTCGGCGCCGCCCGGAGACTGACAGGCTGTGAGCGCCGAAAAAGGAAGAGCGGACCGAGGCGAGAGCCAACGCACGAGTTCGGGTGAACTCGGGATTCTTCGGGAATCCTTGGGCCGGGGGGTCGAAAAGGGGGCATTTCGTTTTGAACCGTGTAACAGGAGTTATCGCGAGTGAGAACGCAGATTTTTCGTAATTTCCTTAAATTAACTTCTCTTTGGTTTGTATAGAATCTTTTCCTTGGCTTTCTTAATTTATCATAAGACTTTCGTTACTTTGGATTGATTTGCTTTGTACCGCTCTCGGTTGATACTTTATCCTGCCGCATGTTTTTGGCTTATGTGAATTTTCTTTTGGCTATTTTTCTAATTGCTTTTGACTGCTTGTTATAAAATATAGCTCTGGTGCGTTAAATTAATATAGTGCTTTTTCTGCTGTATACTCCAATTCCTCTGTTCCCTGCCTGAACGCCACGACGCTTCTGACTAGCTAGCCACCGGATAGGGCATTTGGTGAATTACTGTTTAGCGACTCTCTCTCCTCCGCTGCTTAGTGAACATCGTACGGATCGGCCGTCGTCCCTTGGTGAATCTCGTAGTGAGATTAATTTTAGTGACTTTTGTGAACGGGTGGCACGTCTTAGGACTGTTGGCGTCACCCCCGGTTCCGTTAATTTCCTAGTGATCCTTTTGAGAACGAGAGACCCGTCTTAGGTTGTTGGCGTGGTCCTTGGTCCGGTATATTAGTGTTTAGTTTTAGCGTAACCCGGCCTATTCCGAATTGGGTAAATTATTTAGTGA